CTAGAATATGCAGGACACCAGTGTTCTGAGATGCTGTATGCTATAGCCACCACTTCACTGTATGTATGTATGCATGCAAAACATCATACTGCATACCTCACATTTTTACAGTAAAATTAGTGACTTATTCCTTTGTGCTATAGCTTGATAGTTTGAATCTTTATGTTCCCTAATGGCTCATGTGCTAAAAGTCTTGGTCCATAGCGGGGTGGCACCATTGGGAGTTGTCAGAATTATAAAGAGCTGGGGGAAGTGTTTAGGTTACTGGGTGGGGGCATTTCGTTGACGGAGTATGTGGGTCCCAGTTCCTTACTCTCTATTTTGCTTCAAAGCAATGAAGGGAGTGGTGTTTCTCAATGGCAGACTGCCATCATTACTGGATGTTCTTGTTGGCAGTCTAAAACAATAAGACCCACTGGTCATAGAGTGGAGCCTTCAATGTGCCTGTTCTCTTCGAAAGCTGGTTATCTCCGGGATTTTCTTACAGTGACAGAAACCTAGCCCATTTCACAGGTGGAAAGGAACCCGGCTCTGCTGCTGAAGTCTTTGCCTCCATCACTGTTAACTTCACTATCTACAGAAAATTGACTGTAGCTACTTTCCCTGAATGGCCACAGATGCTGCATCTCCAACAAACATCCATGATCAAAGTGTTCAGCTACTAATGTGAAAAAGGCTAGCGGTGGAAAACGGCCCAGGCTTTGTTACCTACTGAAACGAAGACAGAACAAAGAGCGTTCAGAAAGGCACCAGAGCCATAAAGAGAAAACATTAAGAAATCAGTTCTTTCAGAAAATAATAAGAGGCGCCTTCCTCTGAGAAAGCCATGGAGTTTTTTAAATATCATTTTTACATGCAGGTCGAAGCTGGCTTACAGTAGTTTGCGTTTTAGCATCTCTTTGACAATCATGCCCACTTTATTATTCATGACACTTACAATAGGCAGGACTGTAGATGCTATCCATCCAATTTGGAGGAAATGGTTCCATTTGGAATAGATTAGTATAAAGACTTTTATTATCATCTCTAATTTTTTAATGTAAGATATAGGAAAATTTATAATGAGAAAAAGCAATAATGTAACAGGCATTTCTGGATCACTTCCCCAAAAAGCTAAAATGCAACTCCAAGTCTCTCAAAAATCTTTTTAAAAGATGCCTGTTTAATCTCTGCAGAAAATGACACAGATGTGCGTACTCATTTGTGCAGCTCCTGTGTATTTGTGCATTAATTAAGTACTTTATTTTTAAAAGCCTCTCCAGAGAAACCCATTTAAATGCTTTGATTTCATAAATGTGATTCTTTTAAACCTCTTACTTTCCTGTATTAAATTAGGGTAGGGATTGCAAAGAACATAAACTCTTCTTCGCGCTAGCATCGCATTTTCAGTTACTGAGTTGCTGTTGCAGGATTTTGTCATTTTATACATTGAGTATTTTACATTATGCTATTAATAAATACATAATGTACAGCAAATGTTATATTATTGGTTAACTATTAATTCTGACAATTTCTAAAGGAAACAGAAATGTAATTTTAACACTTACAGCACCTTTCTTGGGAATGTATTGTTAAAAGATCATGGACTCAAAGTTAGCTAGGAAGGGATAGGAGGGTGGAAAGGGCAGTTATGGAACTGGGGGATGGGTATGCTCAAATACAATGTATGAATTTATCAAATAATTTTCTGGGTGGTGGAGCACACCTTTAATCCCAGCACTTGGGAGGTAGAGGCAGGTGGATCTCTTGAGTACGAAGCTAGCCTGGTCTACAGAGTGAGTTTCAGGACAGCCAGGACTACACAGAGAAACCTTGTCTAGAAAAACTAAAATAAGAAAACAAATCAAGGACTTAACCAAAGCATTGTTTAAAAAACTTATACGAACAATCTGTTTATGATCACATACACACAGAAGACATCCATGACTGAGGATAACACACAGTCAACTGGACAGAGTGCAGTTAGAGAACCTGTGTTAGAGAAAAGCACCATTAAAGAATAAAGCTGGTAGACATAAGAATGGGTTAAAATCTCCTTCATTTAAGATGGCATAGTGGTCTTGATAAAGTTAAAAGAGGTTTGTGCTCTATGGTATATTTTCTGATTTTAGAAGCAGTTGGATGTTTCAGATAACAAGATGGCACTAAACCACAGTGCCATGTCTCATATTTATTCTTCCAAATTACAGACATACTATCATACCGCAAAACTCTCAGGATTTAGAATCAGGATACCTTCATTTGATTCCAAGCACTGCCTGATTTCATATTCTGGGATACTGGATGAGTTAGGTAACTTCTCCCATCCTCAGTTTCATTAATTATAAAATATTAGTGTCTATACAAAATGATTATTGAATTCAAAGGACATAAAAATATAAAAGGATTTTATAATATATAAAGTTATATGAAAATTATGACCGGATATGTTTGAAAAAGACCAAATTTAGAGGCTGCTTCAAAAAAGTAACGTCTTGAGTGGGGGAGATGGCTCAGTGGGTAAAGATGGTTGCTGTGCAACCTGAGCTTAATCCCTAGAACTCCTGCAAAGGTGGAGAGAGAACCAAATTCACAAGGCCACCTTCTAATTTCCATACAAATCCTATGGCAAGCACACCTACTGGGAATTGGAACTCAGCTTTGTGGAAAGCACTTTAGCTACTAAGCCGTCTCCCCATCCCCTTCGAAGTATTTCCAGTCAGGTGGCACTACACAGATCTTTAAAGTGTTCAGCTTGACAGCATAAGGCTCACATATGAACTGTTTTTCTATTATGGAATGATTTCAGTCAACTTTGAAATTAGGTATATCTTTAATTTCTGTTGGAAAGAGTCAATACCAACATAAGAAGTCCCATCTTCTGAGACTGCTAAAAGCTAATGTCTGTTTAGAGGGACTAGCGGCAGGAGGATGGCACAGCAAACCACAGCCAGCTTCTCATAATAAGCAGGGAAGTAATAGGCATTTGTGTGTGTGTTCAAAATTCTTTGGCTGGGCAAGAATTATCTTCTTTTGTAATTATATACTTGGGGCTGATTTCTCATTTTTCAATCCCAAACATGCTTTCTTTTAAGATAGTACTTTCAGGTAGAGAACCTGGGCTTTGTGTGAATTTAGAAAAGCTTGTCTTCTGCATCTGAGCCTCACTTGAAAAATTTTCACGTCCTCATTCAGCTTCACTTACCCTAGGTACAATTCATGATGACTATTAAAATTCCCTACTTAAAAATTTCTGTTGGGCCGGGCGGTGGTGGCGCACGCCTTTAATCCCAGCACTTGGGAGGCAGAGGCAGGCGGATCTTTGTGAGTTCAAAGCCAGCCTGGTCTACAGAGCTAGTTCCAGGATAGGCTCCAAAGCCACAGAGAAACCCTGTCTCGAAAAAACCAAAAAAAAAAAATTCTGTTGGATACTGCTTGACTTCAACAACTGTTAAAATCTGCTCTCTGATGCCTAGTATCAACAACATTTGCAGAGAAGGGAAATACAGCAGAGGGTCCAGTGATGGGCAGAGACAAAGAATAGAACATGTATGGCAGGAGACTATTATGTTTAGATCTTCATAAAACATCTCAAGATGACCCAATTATCTGATGGAGGAAATTGGGTGGGCAAAGTTTTTGTTTTAAATGTTTTCTTTGCCCTTACTAGAGGCATGTACAAATTCGCTCCCACATACCTTTTACTTTGTAATGTATTTACGCCATTTTACAGTGTATAAGATTTTAAAGAAAATTGAACCATTATGAGTGAAGGAGGGTAGAGAAGTTGCCCAGTGACGGAAGTAAATCTTTATAGTCAAGTAAAATAGCAAGAGTGATTATCTGGGAAGACTGTTTACCCCCAGGCACAATACTGTCTATTATATTCCCTGATTTAGCTCTAGAGTTGTAAGTCATGGGATAATGAAGCCGGTAAGGAACTGCTTAAGTTACCATCTAATGCTTTTGTAAAGATGGCTTCTCTTTTTGGATGGTATGTGTGTATGATGTGCAATCGTGTGTATATACATGTATGTATTGTGAGTGCATGTGTGTGCAGATGTGTTTGCCTATGTGCAGTGCAGAGACTGATGTTCGGTGTCCTTGATTATTCTCTACCACATATATTGTTGCAGGATTTTTCACTGAACCTAAACTTCAATGTTTCTGCTAATCTTTCTAGCCAGCTTGCTCCAGATATTTCCTGTCTCTGTTTCCTGCACTGGGATTACGGATGGGCCACAAACCAGCCCACTTTGCTTTTACTGGATCTGGGAATCTGAATTCCCAATTCTCATACTTGTGTGACAAGCACTGATAAAGATAATGCTGAGCTTTCTCTTCAGATCCACCGGTTGGTCTTATTGTCAACTTGATATGATTTAGAATCAACTTCTAGGTATGTCTGGGAAGGTATTTCCAGAGACCTATCTATCAGTGCTACTTCTATCTTCCCAGACACCAGCCTCCAGTTTCTTCATTCCCCCCATGCAGAATCAAAACCAGAGGTTCTGCAGGAATCTTCAGGCCTCCAGCATCAGTCTGGGATTGCTAAGGCTTTCAGCTTTGTGGACTGAGCAGCTACTGGATGGCCATTGCTGGACTATACAGGCCCTATCATGTTAGCCATTCTAATAAATTTCTTTTTATAATACATAACATATACATGCATTTTATTGGTTATGTTCTTCTAGAGAACATTGCTTAGCATAGCTGCCTTGGCCACCCACATTTGTTAAACAAATCTGGCTATACTTTTCCTTCTCCATCCAGAAGGTACTTATGAGGTTGTCATCCTTATAAAACCTCTTTGGACATTTTTATGTTTTTTTTTTGAGACATGGTTTCTCTGTGTAGCCCTGGTTGTCCTGGAACTTGCTCTGTAGACCATATTGGTCTTGAACTCACAGAGATCCACCTGCCTCTGCCTGCTGAGTGCAAGGATTAAAGGCGTGTACCATTACCGCCTGGTTCTACATTATTTTTTGAAGCACAGATAATGTAGGGTTGAGTCTACTCACCTCGACTGTCATCCTCATTGTCTTCCCAGCGTTCCTCATTTGCCAGCAGCGGGTTCTGAGATTCATTTATAGACCTCAGAGGGAAGGAGTGTCCATCACCAGGGCTGGTGGGAAAGAAAGGTAGAGTTTGCATATGACACAAATTTCTTTTTTTTTATTCAAACTCAGTCATACACAGAAAGAGGGAGGGGTGAGGGAGAGAGCAAGAGAGAATGAGAGAGAGAGAATATGTGTGTATGTATGCATGTGTATGTGTGCATATGTGGAGGACAACTTATAGGAATAGGTTCTCTCCTTTCACCATGTGGATCCTGGTGATTGAATTCAGGTTCTTAGGTTTGGTGGCAAGCACATTTATACCCACTGAACTATCTCATCAGCTCAGGAAGGGTCTTATTTTGTGACCTAGGGAGGTTCAGAACTTGCAATCTCCTGTCTCAGTATCCTGAGTGCTGGGATATAGGTGTGTGTCATAATGTCTATGTAATATAAATTTTGAGACAGTGATAATCTTCTTAAAAATGAGATATAATCATGGATTTAAGTTTGTGTTGTGAGAATTCTCTGGTGCAATTCTTTACCACTGAGCTATACACCACAAGACTTGTGGATTCTTAGTTCTTTTGTCTAAAGCCATGATCAAATAAGCTCTTATTATCATCCAACCATTATCATTTACTTGCTAAATTACCCTCATTTTCCATGTCTTGTTTGTCTGTATCAATGCTGACTATTTTTGTTTGTAAGACATTCTTTAATTTGCTTTCCACAATGCCCAGTAGCAATATGCATATGCAATTTCATAAATATCACTTAACTATGATGGTCCCAATTACATCCCATTATCAAACCGTTTTGATTCTAAATTATAAAGTGAGGTGAGAAGACTCACCATTGCTAAACATTGTGGGAAAAGCTGCTATGAAGGGTGAGAAGGATGCTCCTGCACCCTGTTTTGTTTTTTACTTTTAACATAGAGTGGAAAAGAGAAATAGCAAGGTGTCTCTGCAGTGTGGATTCTAGGGACGATTTATCTACATGTGAGTCTACTTTGTGGGTCTCTATGGTAATCTAGAGCATGTCCCTAATTAATTTCTGGCCATTCCCAGATAGGAGGCCATGGCAGGAATCATGGTGGCCCTAGCCAGATACTGTTATAGTTTCAGCAATTGAGTCTATATAGCTGAGTGTATTCTGAGTTTAACTTTGGATGGCTTTTGGATTATTTATTTGATGCTGTATATACTTTTTTTCTCTTGTTTCTGAATGATGTCAATAAAAAGTTTACAGATTTTATTTATATTGCTCTACAGAAAATGTTAGAATAATGATTATGTAAGTAAATGGGCTTTGATTTTTGGTTTTGTTTTTATACTAGAGTGATGTGGTAACGGACTTTGACTATTTGTGTGCCTCAGTGTGTGATCAGAGTATATGTAGCTAATTCTTGCTAACAGTAATTAATCAATATTACCCATTGACGAATTTTGTCTTGGTATTTATAGTTAGAAGAGTTGACTATACCACACCTTAAACAAACAGCCCTATAAAACATTAACTGGCATAGAGGAAGTATTGATGCAGCAAGGGGGGTGAGGAGAAAATTTAACCTTTATTTATTTTTTTTAAATTTTTTTTCTTATTTATTTATTATGTGTACAGCCTTCCATGTGTGCCCGCATGCCAGAAGGGGGCGCCAGGTCTCATTATAGATGGCTGTGAGCCACCATGTGGTTGCTGGGAATTGAACTCAGGACCTCTGGAAGAGCAGTCAGTGCTCTTAACCACTGAGCCATCTCTCCAGCCCTTAACCTTTATTATTATGTGACTCCAGCAAAGTTTTTTTCCAACAAGAGAATATGGATATATGCTGTTTGCGCAGCGAACCTAAAGGATACAGAAAGGTCAAGATATTCTCTACAGTTCCTGTAGCTTGTGGTGGTTTCAATGGGGTCACAAAGTCACCCAAAGGATATAAGTCTAGCTCTACAAAAATAAATAAATAAATAAATAAATAAATAAATAAACAAACAGGTTTTCTCTGTGTAGCGCCCTGGCTGTCCTGAAACTCACTCTGTAAACACAGGCTGATGTCAAATTCATGATTCTCTTTCCTCGGGTTTCCAAATGCTGGAGTTATAGGCATGAACCACCATGCCTAGACTGAAGAACATTTTTGTGTGTAGTCTATTCTCCATCATTGGGATAACGGATGTTTTTAATATGTACTATCAAATTTATTAAAGATGGGTGCCAGTTTACCTTTCCACAAGTAAATCATGAAAGTGTCTATTTTATCATACCTCCACTTCATGATTTATCTTTATAGATACACAAGTGAGAAATTTGGGGAAAATCATACCTATAAGACTGATAGCAATCTGCATTTGCAGATGGGAATGGTGACACATGCCTTTAATCCATCAGTGAAGTGGGAAAATCAAGTGGACGGCAGCAAGTTCATAGCCAGTTTGGTCTACAAAGTGAGTCCAGGCCAATCAGGGCTATATAGTGAGGCCTCATCTCAAAAGAAACTGAGTCTAATTTGCAACTATAGGTGCTCAGTCGTCATCAGAGAAGCTTGCTCTGAGATGGGAAGTGGTTGATGCAAAAACCCATAACTGGCCAAGTCGGTGAGAATGAGTGATAGCAGCACGCTCGGCCCTAAGTTAGGCAGCTGGATTACCCCTCCCAAAGCTCAGGGAACGTCATGGAAGAAATGGTAGAAAGATGATCAGAGCTAGAGTGTAGAGAAATGGACAACAAAAAAACTACCTTCTGGACATGACACAGCCATTACAGCCATGAACTCACAGAAGATATGGCTATCTGCACAACACTTGTACAAGATTGGGCCCATCAACACTTCACCATAAATAGGGGATGAACCCATAAGGCCTCTCCCTCTCTGTGGTATTATTGGTAATTAACAGTTGTTGGTGGAAGGATTGTTTTCCTCAGTGGTGTAGCCATTGAAAAATTGTCCTTGCTCCAGTAAATAGCCGCTCATGCATGCATATGCCAGCAACACTAATTTAAGTGAGTCAGAAACACACACACACACACACACACACACACACACACACAAAAGATAGGAAAGTAGACTTGTTGAAAAGAAGGCTTCCAGCAGGAGAGAGGAGGGATGAAAAAAGGGGAGCGGGGTGTGAAAATTACCAAAATTCATTATAAATGTGTGAAACTCTCAAACAAAAACATTCAAAAATAAATTTGCTGCTTAGCTGCATGACTCAGCATTAGCTGCTTCCAGTGGTAATAATTACCTACCTGGACCCAACAGGTATAAACCAGAACTTCTTATTATCGCCAAACACCTGCTGGATATTCTTGATGAAGCCAAGGTTAAACCCATTTTTCTCTGGTCCACTTGTAAATACTGGAGTGCAAAAGGCCTCTAATACAGTGCAGCGGAGTTTGGAAAGAGGAAGAAAATAAAGGAATACATTTCATCACTGTGATGATTTTACATCTCTCCAAAAGATGTGGTCTGCATTTATGACATCTCTTTGCTGTTTAAGCATAGGTCCATGTTCTTAATTATTGCTAAATTACTTAGTAAAATTCAGTTAAATTATTTAATAAAAGGTGAAATTGTTATTGAAACTAAGGAATTTATACTCTCATCATTTTAAGGCAGAGTAAATACACAATGGCAAAAATAATACAGCATTCTTGAGGGGCATGTCATTGGGCTGTAGAATTTAAGGAGTGCCTGAATAGATTTAAGTGTACTTTATTGGAATCAAAGTGGCAACAATAGCCAAATGGTCTCCATCTGTAGATCTGGGACCAAAGTAATGACACATAAAGAGATGGTAATGACATTGATTTGGTTTTGAAACATTTCAGAAATGAAGATGTTCACAATGAAACCTGCAATGTAAAAAACCTAGTTTTACTCCAGACGAAATGTCAATGGGTGAACTGTAATCACCTCAAAGCGTACGAGGAACTGGGCCACATTAGTGCACGTTATTTTTAGACACACATTTATCCATTAAGCAAACACTTTCACTGTTGGGCTCTGGCTGCATCTCACCATTTCCCATTTGCTCTTTGTTTTCAGACCCTGTTATCGTGAAGCTTTTAGTACTTTTCTACTTTTGTAGCTATCTCTCAACCAAAAGTGCTAATTTACTACCCTAAGTACTAAGTGCTATACGTATATTTGATTTAGAAAAATGGGTGCAAAGATTTCCCTAGCAAATGAATTCTCCAAGTGCAGTGGCTTTTACACTAAATTCCTTTCAAATCTAATTCATCCTAGTTAAACGTTTAACACTTGAACGCTTTCTTCCTATTCCTTGTGTACTGACTTATAGACCATGCAAATATTCACCACAGATGAAGTAATTATTGCACTAGAATTCTTTTGTTCTATATATAATAACAAGTCTAGAGTACTAATTGACAGCAAAAAAGAAAAAACCCAACTCATTTAGTGTACTGATTTTCTGCAGATTTAATATGCATATCTCATTTGTATGGTATTTTTATATACTCTTTTGACTGTAAGTATCAATCTGATTCTTTATAAAAAGAATTTTACATTTTTAAATTTATTTATTCATTTTGTGTATGTGTGTGTTTATGTGCACACACCTGTGTGTGCATGCCATGGTATGAGGACAGAGGATAACTTGTGGGAATCAATTCTTTCATTCTACCACGTGGGTTTCAGAACTTGAACTCAGGTTGTCAGGATCTTGGAAAGCACCCTTACCTGCTGAGAAATCTCGATGGCCTGGACTTTCGCATTCATTTTTGTTATTCATTTGGAGTCTTTTTAAGGTCCCTGTTTTGGGCTAAGAATCATCAACTAGATTATTGTTATTTAGTGTCCTATCTTCCTTCTGATACTCATTGCTTCATGTGAACTTTCTAGAAGCCAGATTGTAAAATTGGGGATGTACAGAACTGCGATCATTGTGGGTTCTCTATGGGATGCGACTCATGGATGCTCTGTGTAGTCCATAAGTTTGTTCACTATTGTTGTCCAGTTTAGTAAAATGTATTTCCATTTGTCTCAGGGGATATCACTAAAGCTGAAATACTTTACTATTAGTTTTTCTTTCCTTAGGGAACAGTGATATACATTAATATGCATTTTTCTAATCATAACATTCCATCTTACCTAAGGTCGTTTTGTTTCTGCTGACAAGCCAACAATGGTAACCAAAGAGAATCACAAGGCTGACAAAAAACATGCAGGCCACAAAGAGGAGAAAGAGGACATGGAACTTAGAGCGAACACTAGGTAATTCCCCCTAGAAAAGAAACAAGAGGCAAAGAAAACAAAACATTAAAGTGGGAATGCTTGGCTATCTTTTCTATATAGATTAGTATTAGTAGTGTTTCACATGTAAAAATCCAGCTCCAATTTGAAAAATAGATTTTGTAAGCTTAAATTTTATTACATGCATTTATTTATTTTGTGTGTGCATGCATACATGTGTGCGTATGTGTGTGTTTGTGTATGGACATGCCAAAGTGCGCAGGTATGGAAGTCAGAAGACAGCCTGTGGGATTCAGCTCTCGCTCTACTATGCAGATTCCAGGGACTGAAGTCAGGTCATCAGACTTGATAACAAGTGTATGTCCTGACTATTACTTATTTATTTTTACAAAATTATTGATCATTGTACCTTATTATAGATATATTCTTAGCTTGCAAAGCTTAAAATGGATTCTTGTTTAAGTGCAATATATAAATGCACCAATTAGAATGGAGTAATATGAAAAGGCTATGTATGCTCAGGTCATAATTGGTGTGAAGCCCATATTTCATTTAGCTTGAGAATTATGAATCACTGTCTATGAGATCATAAGGTTAGTACTGTTCATCCTATTGTCTGAGGGTGTCTATAATAGAATCCTTTTATTTTTTTAAATAAAACCTCATACAAAAAGCCTATTTTTAAATTTTTGCTGCATTATGTGTGTGTGTTGTGCCTTCATGTATGTCTGTGTAACACATGTTTGTTTGGGGCCCACAGAAGCCAGAGAGGGTATCAGATCCCTTGGAACTGAAGTTATAGAGGCTGTGACCACCATGTGGGGGCTGAGACTGAACTTGGGTCCTCTGGAAGAGCAGTCAGTGCTCTTAACTACTAAGCCATTTCTCCAGCTCCTTATACTACTATTCCTTATACATCATGTGTCTTTGGCCGTATGTGTGTTAAAAATGCTAGATTGTTGAATATAAGAAATTAAAACACAGAATTTTAAAATGTCTTACCAGAAGTCATGAGCTGATTTTAAAGCTGTTGAAATTTTATGTTTTTTTTTAACAGTTGATATAGAATTTGCTGGTATACTATACCCTGTGGAGTAGCTGTTTGGACAGTAAAAAATCAAGCTTATAGATAATTGTGAAAGTAGGAAGTTAAAGATTGTTAGAGTTAACTGGACATCTTATTTTCCATGCAGCTCCAGTTTTTGTTTGATATGCAATTCTAGAGCAGAATAAATATTCTAAAGTTCTAAAGCATTCATCACATGTGACATTTTGTCTTCAGAAAAGAGACGTGGAAAGCATTTTGAATTTTAGAAAGAACATCTGGAGGAATGATTATGGCTTATTTCCTCCTTTCCCTTAATGGTCATTGTTTGGCACGATGAATTCGCTTGAGGCATTTCCAGATGCCCTTCAGTGATAAAGTTAAAGTGATTCTTAAGTGAAGTGGAACTTAACTTCCTCACGATCCTATTTGACTCCACTTACTGAAGGTTAGTGCTTGGCAACACTTGCTAAGTTCAAACACTATAGGTTTCTTTCTTTCCTTGGAGGCTATTTTTATTCATTTTTACATAAGGAAATGCTGGACCTCTTCCAGGTCGGATACGTTTGCAGTGCAAAGATAAGAGGAAGCAAGCACATCAGATGCTCTCATCTGATGGGTGGTCTGGGTGAACCGTGTACAGGGCAGAGCAGTCGAGGAAACAGCTGCCTCAAGGACTTCAACTTTCAGGAGCCTTTATCTGAAACTCTCCATCTTGAAATGCTCCTTCCGACAAAATATTGACCTAAGCACCGAAACTGAACTGGTTTGGTTCCTGGTTGGTCTGATTCATGGTTTACTTTTTTCTTCTAATTTTTGCTTTTGCTGTTCTCAGGTAAAATTTCCAATAGCACTTCACAGTGCCTCTCACCTTCCCTGAGACTTTGATCACATGGGCTCTTCTTTCTGAGCCTGTATTTAAAGTTCTAAAAGCTCGCATTGACTTTCCCTTTTTACATGAAAATGGGCACTAGAAAATGGCTAAGCAAGTGAGGTTGTTCTGAAAGTCTGCTCCCATCTTGTGTAGCTGTGCTCCCAGCCTTTCCCCATCACTCTTTCTGAACTCATCTGTCTGTATGGTTTAGAATATCTGCTGTGCTGTACTTTCATAGAGTTCACAATATCAACTTTGCCTGTGCAAACAGTTCTGTGTTCAAAAATGCATTTCCAGGAGATAACCAAGCTAAATCCCTCAGAGCAATGGTCATCAGAGACAGTTCAGAGGAAGATTTGTAAAATAACATAATTACTAGGTTATAAATAATAATTCATCACCTTTGTAAAGAGGTCCGTAGCCTAGTGTGGTCAATGCGCATTATTAATTTGGCAAAAGGCAAAGATTAATCTCTCTTTTGAGAGTAGAATTTGCTTAATTTAACACTGAAAGGAAAGAAATGATGTGATGGTCTTCTGAATCCTTTCTTCTAAAAGAATTAAAGCCTGTCTATAGCAGAACCATCATAGGCATAGTACATGGAAGAACACAGAGGCTTACGGGCAGACTTATGTTCAAGTTCTCCCTTTGAAATTTACAGCCAGGTAGGTGATTTTTGACAAGTTACTTCTGCTGTAAGCCTTAGTTTTGTCATCTTGGAATGTGACAAATAGTTTTTGCTTTGGCTACTTCACAGGGTTGTAGTGAGGATCAGATGAGATCATAGATATAAAAATACTTCAAGAGCCATAAAGTACCATATATTAGAAGTTGCTGTTCTTGGGAGTACAGCTTGTCTCTTTGATATGGCTTTAAAAATATATGGCAGTGTTTATTTTTTATTTTAAGAAGAGGATCAATTTAAACCCAGAAAGCCTTGTATCCCTAAGCCATACTAATGTCATTTAGGCCAGAGTGACTGCAAGGAACCATTTCCCCAGTTGTTAATGCCCTTTTCAGTGTAAGGACAAGCTATGACAGGCCTCATGCCCTCTCAGATGACAAGCATAAGTTAGGCTATTGAGGAGGAAAAGCAATGAAGGAATAGGAAAAGAACAAGGTCATGCTCACCGTGGATTTGCTTGTACTGCTGGCACATTTCTCGTGATGAATTCCTATCCAGTTATCATCTTTTAAGAGTGAAGGAAGCATACAGTACCTGGCTTGCATTTCAGTATTTGATTATTGGCTGGCTAGGGGAGTTAAAGGCAAAATGTGCGAAATGCAATGTTGTTTACTTTGTGGTAAAGGTAAAGAGTCGTGAATAAATGGTAGCCCACTGTGTTAGGGCTCAAGAAAAGCATGTAAGAAAGATCAAGGCTCACACTTCCCTGCTGATTGGATGCAGCAGATTTTCTTCATATTTATAGAAGTAGCTCAGCATGCAGATGGAATGCCAAATAGGTCATGGAAACCTGAGGAATGGGGAATAGATGTCGTGCTGTGGAAAGGGGCCAAAGAAGAAATATCAAGATGTGTAGCTTGTGAAGAAATGTTTCCTATTTGAAGAAAATGCATGAGAACATCTCATCATTTCTGCTTGTAGTTTGTTTAAATTAGGGATTTTGATACCCAATATATTGCTCCTGTTTCTTACAGCTATTAATTATCTGAATTTATTAAGCAAGTTGAATAGAATGTGTAATTGTCTACATTACTAGGAATAAAAGCACTGATTCATAATTTAAATATTTTAAAATTTAGCTTCTCGGTGTCTTGTCTTTTTCTTTCCTCCAATTCATTATTATTTCTATTCTGACCATGTGATTTACATTCTTTCCCTGCTGGTTTACTGCTCCAGCTTAGATATGACATCCCTTGTTATATAAGGCTTTTGCAAATTTTCTAAAGTAATAACCAGTAGCTCTGCTCACATTTGTGTTTTTCTATTCATTTCAGTTTAGATAACTCTCATTGTCGACACCTTAATAACTGTATTATAGTGTAGGAAAGAGATTTCTTTGAAAGTTTAACTGGCAGAAGTTGACAAAGGGCATATTTCATAATATTTTACTTATTCACATATGCAAATCTACCTTAACTTTTTTAAATATACAGGATATGACTGATATCTCCAAGTAGGAGAAAGATAAGATTTTGAGTTTTTAAAATTTTAAGGTTTTTCTTTTGTTTTTGAGATTTTGTGATAATTCTTAGAATCATTATATGTTTCATTGGATCTTAGTAAGAGACAAGTGCAACAAGTAGGTAATAGAGCGAGTATCAGATTTGCTGCTCTCACTTCCCAACCCACTGGCCTTCACACATGCTCAAAAGAGAGGCTGGCTGTGGCGGCAGATGCCTCTCGTCAGTCCCCAAACTCGAGACAGATACACGCAGATCTCAGAGTTTGAGACCAGACAGGTCTACAGAGTAAGTTCCAGAACAGCCAGGGCTATGTGGAGAAACCCTGTCTCAAAAAAAAGGCACCCCCACAAAGGTCCAAAGAGACTCTCTGTATCATTTTGTGCTTATATGCAAGTCAGTTTCTCTTTCTTTGCAACAGAAACTTTGCAGCTCCCATCTGAGCATGAAATTACTAAGTAGTTTCTAACTAATTCCTATTAACTTTTTTTTTTAGAAACTAGTGATTTGTAATTAGTTTCAACTGTTTTCCAAATATACAGCTGGAAAGAAAGGTCTTTAAAACTCAAGCACAGACACGGATTTGAAAGAGTGGGTCAGCTGAGAGGTTACTCTCCCTGAGCATTAGCAAGCAGTCACAGATGACACAACTCACTTAAGAGGGATCTTTACTCAACAGTTTCTTAAACTTCAGAATATTCAACATGGAAAACTACTTTTTACTGCCTTGCCTTCTGGTTACTTCATTAATAGGTATTTCAAAATGCCAAAGGCTATAGAGTGAGGAGTGCTACATTTAGAGCCACTATTCACTTCCTTCGGTGGGAGCCGATTGGGATTTGTAAAAACTTACTCTCCAGTATTTGATGAAATAGCTGAAGACGGTTGTCACAATGTACAGGCAATAGAGAACGGAATAAGCTAAGAACTGGAGGAAGAATTTGTAGTTGGAAAATCCAATGCAGTTGTTAACCCTAAAAAAAAAAGAAAGGAACACTAATTGGAAATCAGGACCTATTGACTGAGAACACACTGATAGTTAAGTGGACGAACGAAAGGAGGCACGTGACTCCTGCTGCTTCATTACCTGTTGTGTGGAAACCCAACAGAGACTGAGGCTCCTTAATAGAAACAGACTGGAAAAACAAGTTCACACCTCACTAGTTTCCCTTTTTATTTACCAGCAGAGTCACCTGCGCTACCTAATAGCTTTAGAATGGCTCCTGAAACACCCAAGCAAACCTGGATTTTCATTGCTAAATATATGTCTGTCTTAGTAGCTGCACTTTGACGCTCTCTTGTTGTAATTAGGTGATTCCACGCTGGCTTTTTAGGTCAGACACACAACTTTTACAGAAGAATCACTGAATTTAACTATCTGTAACATTTCAAAATCAAGCCTTCTAGAAAGAGAAACAAATTGCATGATGTTGAAGAAGAGAAATACTTGTGCTATATTTCATTACTGGCTCAATGGCTAAAGTTAATGGATAGGAGACTATTAGCTTTGCAACCTCAGGAACTCACTACCATACCTTTATTGGTATTTTCATCATTGTTTTAAAATGTTATCCTCCCCATAAAAACAAAGTCCAGTGAATTAAGGTAGCAAAAATGGGTATGTTGCAACTCGGCTTCAAGAAGTGGATATATTAAACAACTTTGACCCTTTTAGAGGATAGAAATGAATCAAAAGAAATTACCATGGGCAGTGATGGTCCATTTTCAAAACACATCTACAAAGAGGACAAAATACAGTATGATAAAAATGAAGAAACACTTCAAAATTGAACTCAAGTTTTTAGCAGTATATATAGTTCAGCAAAACTATCTACAGATTTCCACTCTGGCAAGTCCAAAGTTACTGCCTCCTAAATGACTCATGGGATGATAAAGTTCCAGCACCATCCTGGGACTATGCTTGCAGCAAGTGACAACTCCAGAAGTATAGTCTTGAAAGGGATAAGGAACTCCAGACTACCGGTACAGTGAAAAACTTCAAGATGTCACCTTTAGCTTTGTTTACTTATTTCAATAATAATGCAAGGAAATATAGCCTGAGTCTGAATCAAAGGTAAGCAGAATATGGGTGGAACAGGCACTCAGGAGCAAAGGTATGGCAGTAATATACACTAACACAAAAAGTGGTCGTTACAAACCTGGAACAATTTAAAAGACAAAATAAAATACAATGTTGGTTAGTAACTCAAAATAGAAAATAAATATCTATACCTCTGTATTGATTCAAATGATTGAATAGACAAATAAGTGGGGCAGAAGGGACACATCTCCTTACGCATATATTTCAAGGAGAGGAGACATAACTTCCTATTACTTTAGTTTGGAGTTATGTAGAGTGACTTTCATCCAAAAATCACAGTTCAGAAATGAGAAGAGGACAGAATAATCTCACACTGGAAACACCTCACAAACATCAGTTGAGAGAGATGTTCAATATGAACACTGTAGTCAAAAGTCATGTTTATATGTACCCTTAATACCATGTAATGAGATTAGTACATTAGCTCCATGCTCTATGCTCCATGCTTTTCCATGGGAAAAGAATAAACACATTTTAACTGAGGGACAATTTATAAAACATCTGATTCTTAATCCCCCAAACTGTAAAGGTTGTCAAAGCCAAGTAAAATCTGAGAAATTTTCATAGATAAAATGACCTACAGAGTAGATGTGACTAGTTAATGTAATGGGATATGCTGAATGGAATCGTGGAACAGAAAAAGAATATTAGGGGGAAAGTGAAGATATCTAAAAAGTATATTCCAGTTAGATAAGTCACCCAACAGAAACACTCACATACATACAAAATGACATCTGGACAAAGATGTTTATATTGCATTGGTTTGAATAGTAAAAGTAAATTACATAGAGTTTCAATAGTAGAACATTTTTATAATTAAGCTATATTACAATAGAATACAATGAAAAACAATGTCTTAATATTGGTTTATTAATCTTAGAAATGTATTATACTAATGGAACATATTAATAATAGGGGAAAGTAAGTGTTAGACATATGAGAACTCTCTTCACAATAAATCTATAAATGAAATCATTTACAATGAAATGTTTCTTTTGAAAATGCAGTATTATTTTTCTATCTTTAGACTAGAATGATTATCACCCCTGTGAAAGTGTTTGGCATGTGTTCATTATGTCTCAAAAGAAATGCTCTTATCTAGGCATGGTTACACGTTAGGATCAGTCATTTCGTTGTCTAGGCAACCATCAGTGGCCAGCATCAGCACAGAGAAAGTATAGTTGTCACTTACATAGCACAGACAGAACAGTGATGGCAGCGGTCTGGCTTGATTAGATGGCACCGGTCACAGAACCGCACAGCTATAGAAAATAGAAAGTGGTCAGTATGAGTTCAGGGTCAATATAAGATCCCACCATTTACTAGTTTGTGGTTATATCTTGTTACACACTGACTACAGATGGCCAAATGTATCTCAAGCTACTAAGTAAAATGTAATAACAGCAAATTGTGGCATTTAAATTTTTTGTTTGTTGGACCAGTCTTAAGAGAACTTTTAAGGGATGAAAGAAGGGGGAAAATTTCATCTTTGGATAAGTGACAAAAAGTTTTGTATTGTAAACTAACTACTATCAACTGTTTTATGATTTGGGAACTCATTTAGTCTGTTTATTTCAACTTTCCTCCCTGAAAATAAGAATTTATCTCCTATTTCCAGAGGTTAGATTGTATAAGATAGATACAATTCCTACAGCATGATAAAGAATGTGGTTCTCAAAATAACAATTTGGAGAACAAAAGAGACATTTTATCTAGGACAATTTGTTGAACTCCCCATTTTGCAGATAAAGAAATGGAAACCCGTGCCACATAAATTGCCATGATCAAGGCCATGTCACAGCAAATGAATGGCAGGGCTCTAATTTATGCAGTTCTTCTGACTTCTTAGTTTTGGGTTCTATTCATACACACACACACACACACACACATACATACACACACGACTCCCTAAGTGATGGAATGTTATGGAAGTGCAAAATAAACCCTTTCCTCTCCAGATATATATATATATATATATATATATATATATATATATATATATGCACATTGTTTGTGTGTATTTATGAATCTTCTTCCTTCCTTCCTTCCTTCCTTCCTAATAAAGGCATTTATTATTTTTTCTCAGTTTTCTCCACATTTACTGTTAGATTGTTGCTATGTATAATTGCACAATGCTGTTATTTTTGTCTAAAGCCTGAAGGTACAGATAATTTGAGAAATATAACAATTCTATCTAAAGTGTACATTGGACACATATAAACGAGTTAACACAATAGGCTGCAAATTCAGCAGAGCCCCGTGTTCATTTCTGCTAATGAGTGTTTGTGTGCATGTGTATGAGAGGGGGGAGGGAGGGAGGGAGGAAGGGAGGATGGGAGGAAACGACAGGGAGAGAACGAGCATATCATGTCTTAATATATGCCTGCAATAGTTCTGTAATTGATCATCTGCCCTTCATTGTTGCTGCCATACAGTACTTAATATACAGAGCTGCTAGATGATTTATTAAAAAGTAAATCAAACATATTATTATCCACTTGACATTCAGTGAATTTCCAACATGCTAGGAATAAAATCCAAATTCTGTATCAGAGCTTGGGGCCTCTGCCTAACTTTTCAAATGTTCTTTGTACCACTGTCTATTCTCTATGCTCCAGTGTCATTGACTACCTCTCTGTCCTTCTAAAACTGCAACCTTTTGCCTATCTCGTGGCCTTTACAGTTCTTTATGTCCTTAGTGATCATCTCTCTATGCTCTTTGATCAATGGCTTGATGGCTAGTTTTTTCATAAGACAAACACTTTATATTTCTTTTTTTAGAAAAGAAAATAAACTATCTTTTTTCATTTTATTTACCAAACCCAGTTCCCACTCCTTTCCCTCCACCTAGGCCCACACTCCCCATCCACTCCTCAGAGAAGGTAAGGCACATTGCTTTGGGGAAGGTCTAAGGCCCTCCCTAGGTTGACCAAGGTATCCATTCAAAGAGAATAGGATACCAAAAAGCCAGTACAAGCAGTAGGGATAAATCCTGGTCACTGTCAGTGGCCCTGCAGTCTGCTCCAGCCATGCAACTGTCAACCACATTCAGAGGGACTAGTTTGGACCTATGCTGGTTCCTTCCCTGTCTGGCTGGAGTTGGTGAATGGTGTGGGAGAATTGTCTGTATTCTGTCAATCATATTTTAAATAAATGCTGATTGGCCAGGCAGAAGTATAGGTGGGTCAACCATACAGGAAGTAGAGGTGGGACAATGAGAACAGGAGAATTCTAGGAAGGAGGAAGCCCATTCCTCCTTCTCCTGCCCAAACCACCTAAGAAGCAGGATGTGATCTACCCCACTGAAAAAGTTACTGAGCCATGTGGCTAACATAGATAAGAACAATGGGTTGATGTAAGTTACAAGAGTTAATAAGAAGAAGCCTGAGCTAATGGGCCAATCAGTTTATAATTAATGCAGACTCTCTGTGTGATTTTCTTTGGGGCTTACCAGCTGTGGGAACTGGACAAGACAGAAACCCAAACAAGCCCAGCCCTTGTGTTACAGGTGAACTTTCATTAGCTCAGGAGAGCTAATTAGTGGGAGAGCGCTAGATTGATGACTAGTTTTATTTGACAACTTAGTTGGTCTGCTGGTTAGTTTCTGCCAGCTTGATACAAATAGGAATCAACTGGAAGAGGGAACCTGAACTGAAGAATTACTTCCATCAGATTGGCCTGTGGGCATGTCTGTGGAGTATTTCTTGATTGATGATGGATGCATTAGAGCCCAGCTATCTGTAGATAGTGCCATCCTTGGGCAAGTGGTCCTGGGTTATAAAGAAAATTAGCTGAGCAAGCCATGGAGAACAATCCAGTGAGCAGCATTCCTCCAGGGTCTCTGCCTCTGTTCCTGCTTTGAGTTTGTGCTTTCTTTCCTCGGTGATGAAATGATATTTGTAGTGTAAGATGAAATCAACCCTTTCCTCTTTAAGTTGCCTCTGTGCAATGTTTTATCTTAGCAACAGTGAAAACAGCTGGGTGTTTCTGCTTGTTCCTGGTGTTTGCATTCCTGCTGTGAGTCACTGCCTTGACTCCCTAAGTGATGGAATGTTACCTAGAAGTGTAAGATGAAACCCTTTCCTTTCCAGGTAGCTTTTGGTCAGTGTTTTATCACAGCAACAGAGAAATTAACCAAGACAATTGGATACCCACTATGTGGATATGTTTTATATCTGTATGTTAATGGGGATGTTTCCAGAGGAAATGGCCTTTGAATTGGTAGACTCAGGAAAGCAGATCATCTGCAGTGTGGGTTGGCTTCCTTCAACCGGAAGAGGAATTTAATAGAAAAAAAAGGGTCTGAGAAAGGGAGAATCTGCTCTCTTCCTGCCTGCATTAGTGGGGACATTAAGCTTCTTCTCTTTGACTAGATCTTACGCAATTTGGATTCCTTTTCTCCAGGTCTTCAGAAATGAACTGAAAATTGCACCATCAATCCTCTGATACTCAAGGTTTTGAATTTAGCCTAGAATGTACTATCTTGGTTTTCCTTAGGCTTAGGCCTTTTACCTCAAATTGGAGTTATACCACTACCTTTTTGGGGGACTGCAGCTTTCATATGTTCATAGTGGGAGTTTTCAGCTTTTGTCATTGCCTGAACTAAAATACTAAATTTTCATAATAAATTATCTGTATATCTATCTATCTATCTATCCATCCATCTATCATCTAGTCATCTCTCTACCTTATCTAATCTACTGGTTATCTTTCTTCAGAGTGCCAGTAATATAGCTTTTGGTACTGAAATTGAGTCTAGAGAAAAAATTTAAATGATGTTTTTGAATCTGTCTCCAGTTTGACTTTCTGAACATGGGTTGCTTGTGTTATTCAAATTAAATTTTTAAAAGTTGATTTAATTAAATTAAACTAATTACTACACTTCAGTAGTAAAGAGCATACTGGTAATCCATGCCATGCTCTAGCAGGACAGTGTGTAAAGTATCTCCAATAAATGCTATCAATAACCACAAGAAGCAAGGAGATAGATGACTGTATATTTGTTTTGGAACATTTGAAGAAAACTAACAAAATAATGAGGTTGGCTTGTTGTTCCTAACAGTGCTGGAAAAGTAATAAAAGAAAAGAATGAGATATGGGTTTCAAATTTCCTGCACAAGAACTGTGTAAATGACTGTAAGCGACTGTGCTTCTCCTGAAGGAGATGCTTATCTCAAAGCCACAGGACAGGCATCAGTGAAAATCAAATACAGAATTTCATCTGGAAACCACTTAAATTACAATGCAAGTTGAACTCCTGGTCTTGTAGGATGTTTACTGTTAAACTGGGGGCACTGACTGTGGAACAGTAGGACTCTGTAAGAAGACCCAGTAAAGCCAGGGATATCAAGATTCTGTTGACTGCTTCTTACCAGAGGAAGATGTCTCCCTATTACCAGTGGAAACCAGCATCTTCATTATCAATGGCATTAGCTTTTCCATCCCTGAATGAAGGGGTGTGCCAGGAAACTGTGGCCACCATACAATACAATGCTGATTCTCTCCAGGACCCTCTCTTCTCTGACTCTAGATCTACAATTAGACCAAAGGATCAGCATGCACATAAAGGTGATGTGCACAGTATGACCCATGAGGATGTACAGTATATTTGAAAAGAACTACTCGAGTTTTATAATATAAACATATAAATCCAGAGAAAATGTGTGGGAGCAGATATTAAGAATATAGGGCAATTCTGGAAGGAATATTGAATTAGATTAAATATGAATTTAATACAGTATAAACCTTAGCAAGTAGCCTGGCCCTTGAAAAGTTCCAAGGAGTCCATAGGGATGACCTCAGCTAGGACCCTGGGCATTAGACAAGACGGTGCCTTAACTGGCGTTACCCTATAGTCAGACTGATAAATATTTTTTTTTTTAGTTTTTCGAGACAGGGTTTCTCTGTAGCTTTGGAGCCTGTCCTGGCACTAGCTCTTGTAGACCAGGCTGGCCTCGAACTCACAGAGATCCGCCTGCCTCTGCCTCCCAAGTGCTGGGATTAAACGCGTGCACCACCACCGCCCGGCTGGACTGATAAATATTTTAAATATCACCATGGAACCTTCTCCCAGCAACTGATGGAGGCAGAGGCAGAGACCCATAGCAGAGCCCTGGGCTGAGCTCCCAAAGTCCAGTTGAAGAATTGGAAGAGTGAGAATATGAGCAAAGAGGTAAGGAACATGATGGTTGGCACACCCACTGAAACAGCTTACCTGAGCTAATGGGAGCTCACCAACTTTGGTCAGACAAAGAAGGAACCA